AGGGGTTGCCATCTTTTAGTTATCGAAAGCCCTTCTCTTCCCTGCTCCAGTTTCTTGGGAGCTAGTTTGCTGCTTGGCACAATGTTTGTGAGTTAAGTGTTTAACTAAATTAATGCTGTTCAAGAGGAAGAAGAGCTCTTGTTCAGAATGCCTAATTAATAACTATGACTAACAAATATGTGACAGTGGCATTACATGCACACATCATTTGATACAATTTTTCACCATCTTAATATTTATTATTTATTTATTTGATGCATTTATTTGATGTTTTTCATTATTTCATTATTGTTTAGGAAGATCAGAATGATTCGAGCAGATTTGTACTTGAAGACATTTGCTTCAGACAGATCTCATATGAAGGATGCAAATGGGAAATGGCAGAAACCTCCTCCTTCATACCCTTGCATTGAAACTGCTGGTAAGATGACAGAGTTGTGAAGCATTTGTCTTTTCTGAACACACGAAGTCTAGCGTGCCTCCTGGCAGTTACCATTGTCAAATGTTAATTACTCAGTTCTCATAAACTGAGCAGAGTGGTTTTGTGCTATCATTACAATGGGGAGATGAAAGAAAGGCCCACCTAAGATGTTTGAAGTTTCTCTACCAGATTAATAGACCTAAGGATGCTTCTGGGGCAAATGGGCAAGTCAGCCAATTTTTCCCCAGGCGCTGAGTGTTAGTTTAGATAATAGCCTGTGGTCCAAGCACAGAAATGAAGAGTTGCCATCTCTTCTATTCTATATGGATTCTTAAGCCATACTTTCCACACAGCATGTCAGCTTACACTAAACACGTTTGCCAGGCTGGCTTTATATTTTCGTTCATTTTGTTCCCAGATGGAGAAAAGCATACAGTTTAGTTTTAAAAGAGTTTGCCATTGTTGTGTGTGTTTGGTTTTGCTCTTTCTGCTTTTTAAATAATACAGTGCTATATATTAGAGAAGGTAGGGTCAAAGAAATACATTTTGTATTTAAGGGTAAGTTTATTATGGTTTTAAGTTGCAGGGAACTTAATTCACAGTCTGTGCAATTGGCTTCTAAGAAAATTTTGTGTTTCAAACTAAATATAAATGAGTTATGAATGGGCATGAGAGCACAGATACCATTTCGTGGAGCTTTAGGTGTTTTTGGACATTCCAAGTTATAAAGCATCTCAAACCCTGTCCTAGTCCTTCTTTTCAGTAAAATGATATTTAGAGATGAGAGAGGAAGCAGAGAATGCCTAACCTAGCCTGCAGTGCATGCTTCACTGCTAGCTGAAGCCTCTTAAGTGCTGAGGGTATTTTGCCTGTGGAAACCTTATTGTGATAGTTGAGCATTAATGAAGGTGTGATGAGTGTTGACCAGGCCAGACTGGGAAAAGATGAAAACTCCTACTCAGGTTAAAACATTACTGCACTAAGTACAGTTGTAAAATGATCCAAGCAGTTGTAGATATACCTCCAGCTGCAATGAATGATTCCATAGATACAAACCCTGTAACTCTCCTCTTGACTGCATGGCCGAGCTTTGCTTTTCTGATGAACAACAGCCAGGTGGTATCAGCCAACCTCCAGATTGTCTCTGTGATGTTGATAGAAACTTAAAGGTATATGGATCTTCATTCCTTCCATTCTTCATTCCTTAGTCTGTACCTTACTGCACCAGAAGGAACATTCACAAGCCATCCAGTCGGGCTCCTGCTCTAAGCAGGTGTAATGAGATCAGCATTCTTTAGGACTCTCTAGTCTAGTCTTGAGCAATGCCAGGGACAGAGGCAGCATCTCTCTAGGCACAATGTTCTAGTATTTGACCAGTCATGGAAAAATAATACATGTATATTTTTCCTAGTATATAATTGGAATTTCCCATATTCCCTGGTGAGTTGTGTTGCCAGACTCCTCCAAGAAGGCTCTGGGCTCCTCTAATCCATTACCCGTACAGCAGTATGCTCCCTCCTTCGTCTTTTCTGTTGAAAGCTGGTCAGGTCTTGTTCTCTCAGCCTTTCCTCAAATGTCGTGTTCTCCAGGTCTCAACAAACTTGACCAGAAGTCAGTGAGGAGTTTAGGTCTAACAGCTGTAGAGCAAGCATGTGCCTAACCTGTAGTGAAATCCTAGCCTTGTGCTTCAGTGATACAGTTCTGTAGAACAACGTGGAGGTTTAGAAAACATTACTGCCAACATGGGGAACTGGTAATTTCTTCCTCTAGAGACTGGTAAAGAAATAATTTCTCAGCATAGTTTTATCAGGCATAAAGTACCTTTTTTTTAATCTTGTTTGAAAACTGTGTGGCTGACCTTTTGTTACCAGAAAAGAGCCTGACGTATTAATGTTGACATCCATGCCAAATTCCATTGCAGATAATTGTTTTCTCCCCACCATTTCACTTAGAGTACTCTGCTTTCCACGTTAATTTGTGACTGTGTAGATTAAATTGCTCACATTTCATGTTAGGAATGACTTCAATTTAATGGCTGACAGAATTGGCTGCATATATTGTTTTAGTGTCAGTTTATTTGTGAAGCATATCTAGATCAGAGCATTATATTTTTATTTGTTATTGTGTGGCTGTCATTTAGAGAAGCTGCACTCGTAAGCTCTTGAGAAGATGATTACGAAGGCATGCAGGGTTTCTATACTGCTTCTGTTTGATACGTGTCTTTGATGTTGAACAAGGGCTTTTTTAAAAGAAATTAAGGATTATTTTAAAAACGAAAAACAACCAAGCCCACAAAAACACACACAAAAAAATAAAAAAGCAACCCAGACTCTCATCACGTCTCATCACATGCTAATGCAATTTGCTTTTGCAGCTGGCTCTGCCCTACTTGTTTGGAGAGCTAGGCCTGTGTGTGTCCTTTTGACAGTGCTCTGGCCTCTGCTGTGAGTGCCAGGTGAAACTGGCAAACCCAACTGGTGAGCTGCACACACAGTGCTTTCTCACCCAGCTTTATGCTCCAAGCAGTTCTGCTGGAATCCTCATGCTTGAGCTGTAGCAGACTGCTCTGCCCTGTCCCACCTGAATGCCAGTGGCTTCCTGCTGGAAGAAGACAGAAGAGCCTGGTATTTCTTCTTTTTTCGAACAAGATATAATAACTTAAGGCACAGATCAATCATTCTTGGGCTCTCTAACCCAGCCTGGTGTTCTCTCTTGCATCTTCCCTCTGCAAATTAATGAGGTTTGGTTCTTGCTTACCTGATGAGATCAGCACTCCTTACTGCAAGCCCGTGTAAAACACAGCTTGCAGTGTGTTTCACAATTACTCAGAACAGATGGTTTTGCAGCTTGTGTACAACTGTTAACATCACTCAACACTGAAAAGCCTTGTTTGAATTTCAGTTCTCCCCAAGTGTGTGGTAGCACATGTGAGGATTGATTTCTAAAGGCTTTTTTTCCTTTTTAGTTTTGAAGGTAATTTAAGTAGGACGGTTGAGAAATTCTGGAATTGCTTTGTTACTTACCTGTGCAACAGGCAGACGCCAGGCAAAAGTCTGCCATTTCTGCCTTATTTGCACTACCAGGTAGTGGTAGAATCCTTACTACAAGCCAGAAGGGTCGGGGGAGAAAAAAGAAGAAAAGAAAAAAAGACCAGTATGAACGTAAGAAGCTCATATGCACAATAACCTTTAGTTCCTCTCATTTGGGATTAGAAAGAAAGACATTGAGGCCTTGGAGCGTGTCCACAGAAGGGCAAGGAAGCTGGTGAAGGGTCTGGAGCACAAATCTTACAAGCAATGGCTGAGGGAGCTGGAATTGTTCAGTCATAGAAGAGAAGGCTCAGAGGACACCTTATTGCTCTCTACAACGGCTTAAAAGGAGGTTGTGGTGAGGTGGGGGGTCGGCCTCTTCTCTTAGGTAACAGCGACAGGATGAGAGGTAATGGCCTCAAGTTGTGCTGGGGAGGTTCAGGTTGGATATTAGGAAAAAATTCTCCTTAAGAGTGGTCAGGGGCTGGCACAGGCTGCCCAGGGGATTGGTGGAGCCACTGTCTCTGGAGGTGTTCAAGAAATGTTCAGATGTTGTACTGAGGGATGTGGTTTAAAGGGGAACTATTGGTGGTAGGTGATCAGTTGGACTGGATGATCCTGGAGATCTTTTCCAGCCTTGGTGACTCTAATTCTATTCTGTGAAAACTTGGATCTGTCAAGCTAGGCTCCTACTTCATGAGCTTTTTGCACAAGTAAAGAATCGGGTAGGATAGTCAGTAAATGTACAACTAAGAACAGAAATTTTGTAGTAGTGGGGATGGCTTACTGAGGTTACACAGCTTCCTGTGAACCGGGGAGGCTTTGGTTCAGTCTTGCTCGCCTACCAAGCGGTGCTGGAGCAGCTGTCATGCAGAGCAAGTCCCACGTCTGCGAGTGCGAGCCAAGCCAAGGCTGCAGCACCACTTTCTGCCTCCTGTCGGCAGAAGCCACAAGTGTATCCTGGCTAACTGATAGTAAACAGGCCATGTCTTTTTTTTTTTTTTTTTTTTTTTTTTTTTTTTTTTTTTGGCCCTGCTTGGGGAAACACTGTCAAGTTTCATTTAAAAAAAAACAACAAAAACCTATGCAAGAATCCCAGGATGCATCAGTTAGATCTTATTGACTGTGAACAAAGTTGTTTTGGTCAAAAAGGAACTGCTAACTTTGTTCATGCACAAATGCAAACTAGCATGATGCATAGGCATCTGAGGAGGACTGACCGTAATATAAATCTCAAAAATACGTATTTTAAAAAGCTGTGCTGCTCTTGACTTCGTGTAAATCTTACATAAAACATGCAGCTCCTTGCTTCTGTGGAGGAATCCCCTTGGTTTGTCAGCTCTTGCACCCAGATGTCCCATTTGTAAATTCTGCTGTGTATCGATCGTTCTTTTATCTGCCTCAGGAAAAGGGCTTTCTGTTGTTCTCATGTGTTTTTTTGCTGGGCTGCTTCCAAAAACTGTAATGGCTAACATAACATGCATGGCATTCGGAGATGACATATGAGTAGTAAGAATAGGGGGACTTTTATCTCCTGAACCGAATAAAACATGAGAGGAGCCTGTTTTCTAATGAATAGTTGTCATATTGCTTCAGTGCCACCTGCTGGTTGGTTCTTAGACCATCCGTTGCTGACAGGAGGGTTCTTGTTTGCTGGTTAAAACAGCTCTTCCTTTTATTAAACTTCTGTGACAGACTGTTTTGCTCTGCCACAGTCCTCCTGAATGCAAGAGAATATTTCACTTCCTACAGATGTTGTGACAGCTACTAACAGCAGCAGCTGTGTTTGTGACTAGTGGAACAACCCCCTTTGGGCTTCTTTACTATTCTCAGAACGTTATCACAAAATTATTATTCTACCAAGTACACATAAAACAGGGAATTATTTATCCTTCAAATCTTAAACCATATGAGTAATCAAATTCATTTTAAAATAAAAGCATCTGGAAAGAAAAGACAAGCTGGGAATTGGAAAATAAGCTTAGCAGTTTACCCGCGAGCAAGAGCTGTTATCCTCTGATAATTGTTCTTGAGCTACAACGGCAAATTGCTGGGCTTGTGCTAGTTTAAATCATCATATAATTAGGCAGGAAGTTGCCATCTTCTATTCTTTAGAAGCAGGACCATGCTTGGCTGGATGTGAGGATTTTTAATGTGCAAAGCCCAAAAAGACTTTAAACAAGAAAAAGGTGGATTTAGGAGCCAGACCTTACAATTGGTGAGAGCTTGGATTCAGTGAGTTGCAAAACCATTGTGGTGTAGATGTGGTACAAAGAAGAGAGCTGGGTGATGGCTGGCACGGCTGAGCTTGGGCTTCCCAAACATCTTCTCTTCCTCACTTGTGCCTTATAATGGTAAGCCTAGTTACATGAGGTTTTTGCAGCTGAAGCAGGTTACATCCTAGGATTTTCTATGCATTCGTTAGAGCCTTCTCTGGTTTGGTTCTTAATCCTGAAGTGTGTGCATGAATCATCCTTGTTAAAATAAATACTTAAATGTGATAGAAAAGCTGTAACAATAACTCCATGTGCACCCCACTCTGTTCTGTAAACTCAATCTCTTTTAATACGTATTTTAAAAGGTTATTTTCACAGCCTGTCAATGAGAACATACAGTAACAAGCCCACAGATAGGAAATCTCTGATCAGTATGGTTCTGAGTCAGCGCAGGATGCTTGTTGTATCAGACCAGCTCTGGAAAAAGGATATACGAGGCATCTAAACCCAAACTGCAGATCAGCACATTTCACTGAGCACTCTGGGATCTGCAACTGGGATAGAATGGTTTCTACCTTTCCTACTGAGGTCAGGTGAGATAAAATTCCAAGCAAAAGGCAGTCGTGGTTACTCTTCTCTCAGAAACATGGCAGAAACCCTTCTGACCTCCTTTGGTGGTTCAGGAGTTAAAAATAAGTGAAATACAAAGTGTTTGCCCCCAGCCAGCCTGAACATCCCTCTTGGCTACAGGTGGGTCTCTGTCAGATATTTCATCCTGTCTGCATGGCATGGCCTTGCAGCAAGCAGGAAGCTCAGGGCTGGAAGGAACACAAACAAATGAAAAAGCCTGAGAAGTAACAGATTCTGGGTTTGCCAAAGGTCTAATCACTTCTGAAACACATAAGGCAGCTCTGGATCCTGACTGCTGCTGTGACCCAATTCCTTCGTTGCAAAGGGTCCCTGATTCAGATGAGTTTGGATCAGGACATTGTGGGGAAATACCTCCTCTGCCTTTGAGTAGTTGGGATTTTATGAATGCAGAGATCAGTAGGTGCCTGTTGCATTGCAGTTGCCTGCTTTAGTTGTTATTTGTGCAGCGGTGCTCTGACACCCTTTCTAGGCTGCTGTTACAGGGAAAAATCTTTGTCATGCATACTGTTCTATGACTAATGATACTGATCAGGTGATGCCATTATTGATTATTGCTACAGACAGAGGGAGGGGTCAGGGACAAATGAGAGAATCACTGAATTGTAGGAATTGCTTGGAAGTCTTGTTGAGGCCATGTTACAGATGCTGGGTACAGACGTTCTTGTAGTACTGCACAACTTGCAGAATGTTGCTGGACTGCTGCTCAGCAGATGTGCTCTGAACTCTGCCCTTTTAAACTCAGCCTTCAATGTTTTGTTTCGTGAGATTTTCATTACAGCTGCTACTGAAGCTGAATCAGGAACTTCATGCTTTTACTCTTCTGCTTCTCTTTTAGATTCCAAGATGAACTTAGATGATTTCATCAATATGAATCCCAAAGTGGGATGGGGCTCAGTGTTCCCCTTAGTGGACTTTGTGTATCGATTTGGCAGACAGACTGATTGCAGCCCTTCCTTGAAAGGACAATGAAGTAAACAAAGAAGGTGTCTCTGCTTTAATTTTGAGTCGGTTTGTTTTGTTTTGCTGGCCTCACAGTATATTTATGAACTGTTTATATTTCTTTATATGGAATAAGTATTTGGGGAAATCAAATAAAGCCTTTTGTTTTGTAAGAATGAACTTGTTTGTTTTTTAATACATCAAATCAGATGTAGGCATCACATTATAAACATATTGCTTTTTCACCTACTTTGCCCAAATTGAAAAGAATATTTAAACACTGTGGAAAAAAAAAAACAACAAAACTTTTGGAAAAGTATGCATGAACTACTGAACAGTGTAGCTCAGCATGCTGAATGTTGCCACGCTTCAGAAGTGAGGATCAGTATATTCATTATTTCTGTCACTTACGTAAATTGACCTAGTGCATCTCAATTTAGTCACTACATCCATAAAGGGAACTTCCAAGCACTGTGTAAATCCAGATAAGTTGGTGCTTCTGTGCTGTACGAGAGGAGAATTAAGTGCCTGACATTTCAGTTAAATTCACCTAATGCTAAGGGGTGCTGGAAGAGGCACTTGCTTTTCCTTCTTCCATTGGCCGCACGTTCTTGCCTACCTCCACATGCTTGCACTTGGCATTTGTCTGGCCCCAAGGTAATCCGGGCTAGGAAGCTAAACTAACAGAAGGAAGAAAAGGTTTTTTTCTTCCATTTAGCTCCTTGAACCGGCTTGCTCTGAGGTCAGACAGCTGCTGCTGCTGGTATAAGTAAATCAACAGGAGCATATGGCTGGGGGGGAAGGGAATGAACAGACTGCCCTACAGAAGGATGGAGACTGCAGTAAACAGTTGTGAAACACTTCAGTCACGGTGAGGAAAAGCACAGTGACAGTTCTAAGTGTTAAATCTTATTTCTATCTACAGAAACATGTAATATACACATGCATGTATTATTACCACATGTCCCGGTGGTTTCAGAGAGTTTCCTCAGCATGTTAACAGAAGAGATGGACTGTTAAACAGCTGTGGGATTGATTTGATTTCATCCAGGCATCTTTTTCTGTACCATAAGGGCTGGCTGAATGCAGAAGCTTACATTTTCTGTTGCCAAATGCATGCAGTACAGCTGGGTGCTGAGCAGATAGGTTGCTAACATGGGTTCCTTGGGAGCCAGACTGAGCAGGAGTTCAGTTGTTGCAGCACTCCTCTGCAGGGTGAGAGAGCTGATTTGTAGCCTCTGGATAGAGAATAGCAGGATGGAGAATGTGAAGAGCCACGTCTTGTTTGAATGGCTTACATGAAGCACGTTCTAAGTGACTGTATGCTCTGACTTCTGAGCATTCCTCAACTGAACTTCTGATTTGTTGCAGAACATGAGGTTCTCATCCCTACCTACTTGAGTCTGTCATTTGATTTAAATACAGAGCTACCACCCTGAGCTGGTGTTTGGGGGCTGAAATCTATGACGCTCCCTTTAGTGAGGCCTAGGTAAAAGGAGATGCATGGTTTAGTCTAATCTCAGGATCAAGGTTTTTTAAGAAAGAGAACAAATACAACCATTATTCAGAATGTACAAGTTAAAAAAAAATCAGTGTGAAGAAATGCTCCCTTTTCTCTCTAATCATTCTGAACAGATGCCTAATCTTACATGCAGCAGGTTCAGTGTGTGTGATGGAAGCTTTATTACGATAATTTGTTTGTAGCTCTTGTAAAAAATATGCCATTCCAGGTAACAAAAGGCAGAAGCCAGAGAACAATCACAGCATTTCCTCTGTGGCCCTTCAAGCCTGGTGGCACTTACTAACATTGGAGAGGGTGTGCTATCAGAAAGTCAGATTCAGGAGTACACCAGGTGCTCATTTAGGGTCCTAAATAGGAGGTGTAGCAGAGGAGTGACTGCTCCCTGATTGCTAACAATAATTAGTGGAGACCTCCCTTTTTTTTAGTGCTGATTAGTCCTAATGGGTCCCCCAAGGGACCAAGTGAATTTGTTCTGTGCTTGCTCCTTTCTCTCACCAGTTAACTCATATCCTGTTTGCTTTGGAGACCTTATTGTGTTTAATCTTCATGCTGACACTTGAGGCAGACACATCAGTGTTGACTCATTGAGCTTCCAGCTGTGGACAGACAAGCAGTTTCTTCAGAGCTGCTTTGTCAAGTACCTGCAGAAGCAGAGGATATGAGAGTGCAAGCAAAGAACTGCTGCTGCTGTTTGTAAAGCAAAGAAGGCAGTGTCACTGACAGACACACTTGTGATCACCAATGTATTAAACACCTCTGATGGAAAAGACTTTTTGTGGGGGTAGATAAATGCAGTGCACCGTACAGCAAAGCATGGCTTGGCAGGTACAGCTCCACTCTGCCTGGTACAGCCACGCAGCCCAAAGATAGCACGCATGGAACATGTCCTGCTGTGAAACATGAAATAAAATGAAAGCTTTGCCATCACCTCTGGGCTGGTTGGTGCTACTGACAGCCCCTGAGACTTTTAATCTGCCATGTCTAGATTATGTCCTGAGGCATGCAGCACAAAGGCATGCTGCTGATTTGCCTTTAGTATGATGATTTCTTAATGCAGCTTAGCTTTCTGCTCTCTTTCATCCTTCTTTAGCTTGTCCTTTCCCACAGTAAAATTTGCCTGTCTTTCCGTTGTTCTTTATCATTATGGCATTTATGTGCTGAGGGCACCTGGACAGCGGCTTTTCAGTCTTGGCCACCCTTGAGTTAGGCACTGAACAAGCAGAGAAGGAAGTTCTTCACAATCCCATTCTCTCTTAGCTTCTGCATGCCGTTGGTGACTGGAAATTGTGCAACACTTTCACTGCTGGAAATGTTACGGCAGGACCCTGCTAGCCCTACCTCCATGCTGGGCGCCCCGTCTCACAGGTTGGCCCTCTCACTTCCTTGGAACTATGGGTGCAGTTCTGTGGGAGGTAGGAGACCCACATCTATCCTGCTGCTTTCTCTTCTTTGCAGCTTCTCTGTAGTTAAGAATATCATTTGCTTTATAGCTAACCTCTTGCTTACCTGTTTGGGATGTTAGGAAAGGAAAAAAAAAAGATGTTTTTTTAACACATTTTCTTGGCTCTTAAATTTCTGTGAACATAAGCAGTCAGGCTCAACTCAAAGCTGGTGAAAATGCCATTTTTGAGCCAGCCAGCAGAGAGAGCAGTCAGCACGCAGCAGGCAGGCAGTGTGGCATCTGCTTCAGTTCTAAACAACCTCAACAGCAGCACGGGGCTGATCTGTGTCTTAGGGGGCTGCCTGAGGTCTGTTAGCTCCTCCTGAGCATCAAGGGCCATGTGGCAAAGTCTCCCTGCTGCCTGCCAAGCCTTGAGTTCTACTCAGCGTTCACAATTCTACTGAATTGAGCGTGTAGCACCTTAGAATATCAAACTAATCAATGTACAGGTTTCAGAAGCTAAATTTAGGCACTCAGGACACTGCAATATGATCTGCGCTATTAAATGTACGGCTGGGAGGCACCAGGCTGCGTTGATATGAATCAGATTCCAGGATCAGAGCCCAGGTCGGAACGTTGTGGCCTGCAGGTCCATTCCCTCCTTGCCTGCTCATCAGCCAGCCAGGGCCTCGTGTATGCTGTAATGCACGACCCTGCTCCAGCCAGATACTGTACAAGCGTCCATCTTTAGGGTCTGCTTTTCTCTTGCTATCATAGAATCACAGAATATCCTGTGTTGGAAGAGACCCACAAGGATCATCGAGTCAACTCCTGGCTCCATGCAGGACCACCCAAAAAGCAGAGCATATGTCTGAGAGCTTTGTACAGACATTTCTTGAACTCTGCCAAGCTCAGCACCATGCCCACTGTGCTGGGGAGCCTGTCCCAGGGCCCAAGCACCCCACGGTGTCCCTGCTGCTGCCACCATCACCTCCCACTGAGGAACAGATGGCTGAGGTTTGATGGGGGTGCCCTTCTAAGACCCTTTGGATTTGCAGGCTTGGAGACCTCATCTCTTCTCACAATGAAAGCTACCTTGACATTTGTGTCTTCTAAGGTAATTGCCTACTCAGAAACCGGGAGGAGCAAACACTGGTGAGTTCCATTTGCCCTCTGGCCATCGTCTTGTGCAAGATGAAGGGTCCGTGGGTATCTGTGCAGGTTTGTGCAGAGGCTGTGCAGAGCTCTCGGCCAGGATCTGCTTTCCTCCTGCAGCCATGGAGTCCTCAGGGTAGCACTCGCTGTGTCGGGCTGAGTGCAGCTGCAGTAGTGGTTCTGGAAAATCTCTCCAGTTTGGCCTAAGATAAACAAATACGGTTGCTTAAGTATCTTCAATGTTTCCTTATACTTACAGTAGGAAATACCTTGGTTACTGAGGGCAGCTAAAACAAATCTTGCTTAGTTATCTAATGCCTCTGGCAAGCCCCTGGGTTTCTGGGTGAGCTCAGCCACTTCCTATGCAGGAGGCAAAGAGCTTTGTTTTGTGTTGACAAAAATAAGTGTGCGAAGGACCTGAACTGCAGACGGTCCCTCACGGCCTCTGGGAATGGACTGGTTCACCTGGAGCTCCAGACAAGCAGGGTGTTTCCAACCAGCTGGATTCCTGACATTACATTACTTCCAAGCAGGAAATGCTCATTTGGCATTGGGTTCAGCGTCATACAGCCTTCCCATGCAGGCCTATATCTGGAACCCAAACACTGCAATAAAGCAGGAATCATTATATGTTATGATTTTTTACGTGGCCTACACAGCGAGAATATGGTAGTTATCTCAGCCTTCCCTTCTTCTGCATGTGTAATTGCGGTGTCACGCATCCCACCACCTTGGCATGGCTGGGAGGGTGGCAGTGCCCCAGCTCCGATCCGAGCCTCCAGAGAAAACATTCTGCTTTAACTGTTCAGCTGCAGAGCCTCCTCTGTGCCTTCCAGTTGGAAGCTGCCATGGCTTCTGACTTGTGGGGTGAAGCAAGGGTTTCCAGCCCTTGTTTATGGTTTGTGTAAGCAGTTCAGCTATTTATACTGTGCTCATCACGGAGCACTTCGCTGTATGAAATGGATGTAGTTATATTTATACCAGTACAAAACAAAGTCATGACAAACTGAGGCAACAGCATTTGGAGTGTTTTTGCCCTGCTCTGTGCTGCTGTTCCTTCAGCAATGGGAGCTGCAAGTTGGTGAAGCTGTGCTCATGGCGCAAGCCTGGCCTGCTGTAAGG